GACTGATCCTGTTTATTTTTGGGTTAAATAATTTTTTTAATTTTAAACACAAGAAGAATGTAAAATTAAATACAATAAATATATAATAAAATAGAAAACCCTGAAAAATTCCTTTAATAAATCCAATAATAACAATTCAAGGTCACTTAAGTTATTTATGCTGAATCCAAGCGCTGTGCAGACYATTAGAGGGACTTCTTATATGCAAGTGCTAATATTGGAAATTTTACATGCAGGCCAGTATAATCTAATATTCTTTTTTTTTTTTTTTGGTTAATATTGTGCCAACATTGGATTGGGACACCCCTAGTATTTTATAATTTGTTCCAAATGGTCATAAATCAAATCGGGGTATGTCAATTTTATTTGACTTTTCTAGGTTTTCCAGCATCCTACAGGTGATAAATAACATTTACTGATTACTTTAGTTCCTCCTCCCATTAAAACATGTTACTGTGCTCATAGAGAACCAAAATTCTGTTTTAGACAAGAAAGCATCCTTTTAACTTTCTCAAATCCCCTTCTTTACCAAGACTTCTCCGCTCCATGTTGTGCTTTTTATATTTCCTCACCACATGTTTGAGGGTGAATGATTCCAGCAGAAGCCGCCATGCAGATAAAACACACTCAACAGTTTGTTCAACCAGAAAATCTATGAGATCCAGCTCTCATGTGACTGCAGTGTCCTTTCAAAACAAGCTAGGGTCAGAATTAAAACTAATTATGGAGCAGCAGCAACAAAATCAACTGCCACAAACTGAACACGCAGTCCTGAAAGTTGTTTTTAAATAATCTGATGCTAAATTATCTTAATTATTGTCGGGCAACTGTTTATTTTGGATTAAACAAACTCTTCTTCAGGCTCAGGATATCCACAAAGAGTGTTGTTGTGTCACATTTTACAGATTGATGACACAACTAAAGACATCTGTGACTGATTACATGATGAGGTGAGGGGGTCTTTCACCAAACAGGTGGACGTCCAGGTCAACAGAGGGGCTAAAGATCCCCTTACCTCTGAACTTTTTTAATCTTTCACATCTCAAGCTGAGTGTTACTAAAAGGTTTGGAGTTTTTCTTCATGTAAATTTGTGTAGAAAATKAAAATAATAAATAAAGTCCAACAAGATGAAAGCATTTGTGTAAATAAGAGAAGAGATGATGGGTTTACCTCGATGGTCTGCGCCGTGACTCCATGCTCTTTGAGGATTTTGTTGACCCCTAAAATAGAGAAGAAACAGTTTTTATTCAAAAAACCTGCACAATATTCAAGTGTTCATATGATGATATAAGAAAATAGAAAAGATGGTCAGAGAAATTTATCAGATTTTGGAAAAAAACACTGAGCTGTGATGTGATATTTAAAATAATAATAGTTCTTCAATTTTGTTTATTTCAACAAATACAAAAAATTTAATCATTAGCTGAACTAGCACAATAAAAAATTAAGACATTTTAAATAAAAACTTTTATTTCCTAAAACCATTGTGTTAATGAAGATTAGTTTCCCAGCAGCACTGAGATGCTGTTTAAACTGATGTTCACAGATTTTCCTTTAGAATCAAAAGGTCAACATTTTAATGTCTGATTTCTTTGGTAAACTGTTACAGATCTGAGATGATTGTCCAAACAGTGTTTGTGTACCTCACTGGTTTACAGACTCTACTAACGGCTCCCCTTGAAGCTCCTGAATGGCTTCATTTACAAATCATTAAAATAAAAACCTCAGAAACAAGTACATAAAACTAGATCTGCTGGCTTTCTACAATTTGTACTGTTTGGTACCCAATAAACAGGTTGCTTCTAGTTTTTTTTTTCCTGTATCAGGAGAGAATTCACATGACTTTTTCAAAGCAGAGAGGCCTGTGTAGAAAAGTTAGGGAATGAAGGTTCCTTAAAGTGTTTGGTCCCAGTCAGCCGCCTCATCTCCCCTCCAACTCAAGGAGGGAGGTGGGGGAGTCAGRGTTCATGTGGACCTGTACACTCTCCTGTGGTGATTAGGTCACATGAACACCAGAGGGGGGCATATCTATCATCATCCATTAGATCAGACCGAGTCCACAGCCACACACACACTGTAGGAAACTGATTTGTTCTTCTCACAGCTGAACGGTCCGGGTTTAATTCTGTTTGTTTACTTTTTTACWCAATGAGCATATTTGCAGATAAGTWAGTTTKCAGCCAGCTTGAYACYRYTGATAACAAGTTTTAAGATACCAGACTTGTACCAGGTTAGTTWGAACAAATGCATCAATTTCCAAAGCTGTATGAAAATAAGAAACATTCCCATGCACCTACAGGTGAGAACAATTTAAATAAAAAAAAACAAAACAAAACAAAGTTTAGTGAGTTCACTCAGAAAGATGGCACTTTCCTTGCTTTCTTTGTGATGTAGGTGTAAGGGTCACCCCGAGGGGGAACAAACATTTCCACCTGTCTTTGACCCTGGTCTCAGAAGACCTCCCTCAAAAGAAACATTTTATTTTCTTTAATAAACAAAATAATAATGTTCTTTATATTTTTGATTTATATTTTCTTTTAACTACAAGTTATTATCATTTTATAAATCAAAGTTACATAATGAAAAGAATGACAACCTATCTTTTGTTCCCCTTACATAGGAGAATAAAAAAGGTAAACCCTTACAAATGGTGCCCTTGTAGGTGCAAATCTAAGAATACCACATACACTATCACCCAAAATATAGATATAAATGTCTGTTGTGCACACAAGACCACAAGAAAAAAACAGGCTTCTTTAAGCTCCAAACTTAGACAACACCATAACATCGAACATAAACCTGAAATCAAATTTGCACCCAAAGTTGCAGAACAAACTACCRACAACAAAAACTAAAAACTCAGTGTTTTAGGTCGTATTCACACCTGATAGTTTGATAGAGTTGATTCGATTGGGAACCAAAATTGCAAGATTTATTTGCTGAGATGACTCCATATGAGGCGGAGCAAATCCAACTTCACAGCCGTGATGTCTTATACAGACATCGAGCGAGGTATTTACAAGATATGAGTAACTTTATAACTATTATTACACAGAGTGGCCTGTGTTATAGTCCAGTACCTGTCAAGAGCTGTCTCCGGTCCTGTTGGTGTCCACACATGCAATCGAACCACACCAGAGTACGCTTCAACCAAACTGAGACCTAAATTTTCAGGCGGACTAGAGTTCACCTTTTTGGTCCACATCAGAGTTTGATAACACATTCACACCTCTCCAAACGAAGCCGACYTTCTAGGCAAACAAACTAGAATTTGATTGAAGTGGACCAAACTGTGCTGGTGTGAATACGCCCATAAATTACTTTGCATAACACCAACTTGCCCTATTTAACATCCATCCATCCATCCATCATCCATCCATCCATCCATCTATCTATCTATCTATCCATCCATCCATCTTCTCCTGCTTATTCTTGGTTGGATCCTGGAGGCAGTACATGCAGGAGAAAAACACTGACGTTCCTTTTCCTTCCAACACTTTCCAGCTCCCACTGGGGGATCCTGAGGTGTTGTTCCCAGGCCAGAGATGATTCTTTTACTCAGTTCTAGTTCTGTAGTAGGGTCTCCTTGGAAGGTCCAATAGAACCAAATCAACTACATTAGAAGTCTTTAATAGAGGAGGACCACAGAAAACAGGTCAGTTTGCCTGAAAGAGGGCAACAGGGGTACTATCCTGGAACCAAGTATGGGTAAGTGCATATAAGGCTATAAATGTTATGGTGTCCTGTATTTGTTTATGCCTAACACTTGTCCCGAATAATAATAAGTTTGCCTATACTTAGGCAAACTAAACTGCACTAAATCTATCAGTCTACTTGGAAAACAATTAAACATAATCAAAGAGATCCCATAATGGTTCTGAAACTTATCAAAAATTACATCTCATCCCTTCAGCTTGATGGTTTTAGAATTATTCTTGGTGATTGTTGGGAATTTGTAAGAACGTGTTTTAGTTTACAAATCTCTGGAACAAAAGCTTGGATTTATAAACTGTGAACACAAACTTTTTGTCATCACAGCCGGATCGGTTCTAGACGGTCTGAACTCTGGTTCTTTGCTCTGTCCTGCTGCTTGCTCATATTCCCATGAGGCTGTCGCCCAACTGAGGTGACACACAGGAAATCCCCCCTGTTCTGTCTGCACTTTGGCTTAATCACTTCAGCATGTAAGATGGAGCTATGAAGCAGTGAGTCGCTAGGAGGACGGAGATGAATGAGCACAAAACAACTCAAAAGAGAGGCAGACGTGAAGTACTGAGTTAAAACCAACTGGTGCTGTGGGCTGTTATTTTTAGTGAGTTAAAGTAAGCAAAAAGCCCAGATCTTTTCTTCAACACACAACTTTGAAGTGATCTAAACCTCCTCAAAATTTGAATGACATGACAGTACCACAACGAGGAAACTTAATACAATGCTGCAGACTAGTAAGATGGAAAATGTCACTTCTACTGCGATATGAAGACAGCCGTTAACTCGTAGTTTTGGCTTTAAATTAGTCCAAATTGGTGTGTAGGGTTTTTATGAGCCACATCGTTTAAGTCAAACTGCAACCATCTGGGTAAACAAAAGCAATGCAATGAAACTTTGGTCAGGAATAAAACTTTCGCTCAGCTGACCTTTGTCTTCTTGTCTAATAAAAGAAATGGAAAACGTTAGGATGTTTTGTTAAATAAACAGAAACAATCATTCGTTAGCTGCAGAGAACAACAGGCTAAAAGTTGTTGCAATCCTTTTTTAGCGTTCAGATAGGTTTCCCAGTGCATCACATTAAAAGACGCTCCATGTGCATCCTAAAGCTTTGCGTTGGGAAGGAAAGCAGTAGAGGAGGTGGGGCATTGAGTGGGGGGTCCTGCAGGCCATGTTTCAAAAGATGAAAACCATCTGGGGAGGTTGACTTTACAAGCAAGCCATACAAATTAACCATCTGAGAAAGAGCAGGAGAACGAAGGATGGAGGAAGGGAGGGCAGAAGACGTTGGGGGCTGGTAAAAACTCTGTGAGGGACGACGAGAGAAACTTTTTGTTTTTATAACAAAGAGGAAATATCCAGTGCTGAGACGGGAAAAGAGACGGAGATCCAGATGCCCGTCCGTGGCGTCCTACCTTCCTGAAAATGTTTCCCGTACTCCATCGCCATGCCCCCCTCAGAGAGGAGAGTCGCCTCCTAAGAGACCCTCCTCGGTTCATCTCCGGACTCTCAGCGGTCTGTGTGTAGCTTTGAAGGTCTCCCAGCGAGACCTCTCCCTTTTGACAGCGGAGGAGTCGAGGAAAGAAAAAGAAAAAACAGGACTATTTTGGTCTCAGAAGCGCGCTCCTTCGCAGCACTCCTCTACTGTCCAGCCTGCGTTCTCCCTTCAGTCCTCTCCTGCTCCCTCGCCCCCTCAACTCTGCCTACCATCAAGTTATCTCTCCCACTGATATTCAGCTTTTCCCTCCCTCCTTTCCCTCCCATGGCTTTTTCACATCTGCATTCGGATCTAAATTGCTAACCCTTTCCGTCTCTTGGAACAAACATGTGGGAACTGATGCATGATTGTGTAAATAAACACAAAACATCTTAGAGGAACTATTTGCTGTCAAACATTGTTGATGTTCGATTATTCAGCTGATAAGTTTGTGTGTTTAAACTCCCTGTTAGAAATTWAAAAATGCTGGTCGGAGAACATGCATCTGGTTAGACCAGAATACAAAAAAGGTCAAATTTTTAGTAGCTTAGATGTCGTCCACTTCCTTGAATGCAAAAGTTAAAAAAATTGTGTGATGTAAATGTTAGAAAAGACTCTCAGCTACTAACATACTAAGTTTTAGCTCAGTAGTGGTTACTATGACGAGTTAAAGCCAGTTTTATGTTGAATAAGACTGATTAGCTGTGGTGGCCATCTTGAAATCGGCTGTTTCTAAAACTTAATTATTGATATGCTGTGTGCAAATGAATATTTTCTGGGAGGTTTATTAAAATTAACTGTGGTTCATGAGACATTTTGCTAACACACATGAATGAAATTACAAGATCACCTGCCTTTCATGGCAGCGAGCAATGAATAAACTGAACAAAAGAGCAGAGACTGAAGCAAACTGAAGCAGTTAAGCAGAAGTTCATGCAGTCATGAGATGAGTGTGTTGATGCTCTGAGGCCCAAACAAACCTCCGCCTGACATCACCACAGAGTGAATGTGCTTCACTCAGACGTCAGCCGAACAACTCCCCCACCCCCACACATAWGATTTTTCACTCCGTTTTAGTTCTTGTACCCGAACATGACAGCATGTTGCTCAGTGTGCCTGAAAATCTGAGAGAAAGAGAGTAAAAACTGAGAAAAAAAAAAAGATTTAGCTTCCAACATTGTGACTCAAAGATTTGATATTTAGCTGTTTAGACCTGAAGCTTTTTCATCACTTTGTTTAGCTAAAGAAATGGTGACAACTTGTATCTTTATGGCAGGCATCTGAGAACAAAGAGCCTAACTGTGTGAACGCTTCACAAGCATTCACGATATTGAGATCATTTTTTCTTCCGTCCATTTTTTGGCACGTATCTTGTTTTGCAATTTTTATGCTGTTTTTACAATTCAAATCTCAAAATGCTCGGCTCCTTCCGGACATTCCGAGTATGACTTTTGTTATTTCAGCTATTTATACTTTTTTAGCTATTTAACTGTGTCAGCCACATTTTCCCATTGAAAATTAATAAAACGGTTTTCAACTTCCTCCTTTAAAATGTTACAGCACCTTATATTTTTTGTTCTGGTAATGCTATTTTTAACTTCTGTGTGCTAATTTTAGCTACTTATTTGATAATTGTAGCTATTTTAGCTATAATTCTGATTGTCCTGATGCGTCTCAGTAATCCAGGTAGAAAAAAATCAAAAAGAAAAAATAAGTAGGTCCTCTGGATGGGTTCTTTAGTGAAACGTTTCATCTCTCCTCCAAGAGACTTCTTCAGTCTGTTGAGTTTCAGGTGAACTCAGCCTTATAAGCCCTGCCTCCACATGGACAAACAGGTYAGTCACATGCAAAAGAGGGCCATCGACTAACAATAAGCTTGATTAGCTCTATTGTTCATAGAGGGTCATGTGCCCCATCACCTGACCCGTGTTGTGTTATGTGAATGTAGTGAATGCAAGTGGGGGTTCAACATCCCCTTGTTTTTGTAATTCTGCTTCTTTCTGCTATTCTTATTTTCTAAATTTTTGCACTTCTTTCTGCTAATTTGAGGTATTTATGCTTCATACARTTGCTTTCTGCTATRTTCAGCTTTTTGCTGGAATCATAGTGAATGTTTAGCTGATATTAGCCAATTTCACATCTTAGTGGCTATGCCAGCTTCTCTCGGCTTAGCTCAGCAAACTTCTGCCCCTTATGCTTCTTTATGCTAATTTAGGAATTTCCAGCTACATTTTAGCTGCTGTAATGCATATTTTGGCTGTTGTAACAAAATTGTCAAATTTTTGTACTTTTATGCATTTTTTATGGTTTTAGACATTTTTACACCCCTTTTACCACTGAGTGCTAATTTCAACTTGTGTTTGCTATCTTTAGCTTGTTTTCAAGCTAATTTTAGCTCCTTTTTTGCCTTTTCAGCCTTTTTTTCTGCTAAGTTAAACTTTTTTATGCTTCTTTCAGCTTTTCAAACCAAACTTGCATTAAATATTTTGTTATTAAACATTTTAGCTCCCTTTCAGCAGCTTTCACTTAATTTTTCAACAATAAGCATTCACACTAGCATTTTCACAGGAATGCAATTTCTCTAGCTGTTTTTGTTATAAGTGGTCATAAGTCAAATTTATCTCTCATGTTCGGGAGCTTTTATACACCTGAATGATTCACAGGTCAGAGGTAGCTGGAATTTTAATACAGTGTTATATAT